CAGCGGAATTCTTAAAAGATTATCTGCAAATTAATGTAGGCTCTCTGCAATTGGCAGCTAATCACAATATTTTGCAAATCATTGATGTTTGTATGGAATATGAAAAAGAAACCAAATTAAGTACACTCCTTAAAGAAATAATGGCAGAGAAAGAAAATAAAACTATTATTTTCATTGAAACCAAACGTAGAGTGGATGATATTACGAGAAAAATGAAACGTGATGGGTAAGTTATAATTATTATTGTTCTGTAATTCTTTACCAAGTATGATTCTTAAGTAATGAAGTATAATTTCAACAATATTGTTATAGTAGTTATACTTTTGCTATATTTGGTACATACTGATGACTAAATTAATAAATTATAATGACACTCAATAATGAATGTTAATGTTTACTTAATTGACAGTTATTATAAAAGAATAACAAGTTATTTAAATTAAACATGTTTTTTTATTAGGTGGCCTGCAGTATGTATTCATGGAGATAAGTCACAAAATGAACGAGATTGGGTTCTACAAGGTAATGTTCAGTCTAAACATAGTTATTATTTACGATGATTTAATATTTAATTTATTATTTTGACAGTAATTTGTATTATACTAGCTCCACAATGATAGCCAAACTAATTTAATATCAAATTGGTGCTGTATAATAAAATTGAAATAAAAAAGCACGAGTGGTTGTCGAGAAGCGGTGTCGGACATAAGACGCGAGCGCGTTGGGTGTAGCGCAGTCAGTAAACACATTTTGAACCAGTGTCTGCATGTGCAGGCTGTGGCGAGCTGTGGCCTGCGGCGGGGCGGCAGCGCGCGGCTCGTCGCCGCCCAGCCGCACGCGGCGGCGACAGCGCCCGCACCGCGCCCGCCTCTAGTTGTCGGGGCTAAGCCCTATGCACTCTGACTCGCTCCCGCGGCTAGTCTGAGCCGCTTCTCGCGGCGGCGCGGCGGCCGCCGGCGCATCTCGCGGCGCATGTCTAGCGCAGTCCCGCGGGTGTCGACGCCGGCGCTGCGTCGCCCCGACCACGGTGGTCGACTCTCGGTTCTCGCCCTCGTGCAGACGGGCGACCTCTCACCTCTCGCTCTCAATTTTTATTTTTTGTGCGATATAAAACAGACGGAGTTGATATTATTAGTAAGTTTACTAATACAATAGTGAATGGAATAAAATTATTATTTACGTCTCTCATTAAACCTCCCGAGGTTGCCCTCAATTCTTCATTTAGACATTCATTCACATCATTTTCCTGGTTTACATCTTGACTTTCCTGCCAAACTTTTGTTTTTCTTTACTTATTAATACCTTATTATGTACAACTTACATTGATCATGCATACTATACACATATTATTTATTAACTATACATAATCATATAATTAATTTGTCATCATAAAATCATAAACACAATATTGCTTCAACATATGTTATGGTGGCCGAGAAGGGGTGAAATGTGAGATGAGTTGCAAATACTTATTGAGAAGTGTTGAGTAAAATAATAGCAGCAAATAATGATTGGTCACATAGAGGGTTTGGATAAATATTTTGGTGATATTGTTGTGGGAGCGATATAGACCTGGAGTAGAATATATTTCTTGATTGAAATAGTTCTCCTGAAGTTTGTTTTGTAGGGACATATTTTTTCCATTTTGTCTGTCATAAAGCGCATTAGTCAATACAACTGTATGCAGTACCTTGGGAGTGGTAAGAATGATTATAAAAAAGAATGTAATCCAGATTCATTGAATATAACAAATAATATAATTGACTGTTACCGGGTATGTACATAAATTACATTTTCAACAGTGACAGTTAAATTTGCAGAGTTTCAATGTTTGTAAATTCAAACTGATTTTGTATAATGTGGTTGCATGGTCCTCATACGTTAAATTTCTTACAGATTTTCGTAGTGGGAAAGCTCCCATTCTAGTTGCTACGGATGTTGCTGCTAGAGGTTTAGGTACGTATTTTATTTTGGTTACTCAGTTAAAATATAATTACTTGATATTGTTTTGGTTAAACTAATTAAATATTATTGTTTCTAGATGTTGATGATGTTAAATTCGTTATCAATTTCGATTACCCAAGTAATTCGGAAGATTATGTACATCGCATCGGAAGAACTGGACGAACTAACAAAACTGGAACAGCTTATACGTTCTTTACGCCATCGAACGCTGCTAAGGCAGCCGACCTAGTGGCTGTATTGAAAGAAGCCAAACAAGTAGTTAACCCTAAATTGCAAGAACTTGCTGAACGAGGTGGGGGAGGTGGTAGACGTAAGTGTTATAATATTATTACACTAGATAAAAATTTATTAGCTTATTAGTCACGAAATATGGTATTTAATCGTTTCTTTTCTTTGCCAGGACACCGAGGTCGTGGTGGAAGATACCGTCGTGGGCGTCGTTCTCGCTCCCGCTCCAGGTCACGCCGCCGTCGCTCCCGCTCCCGTTCTCGCTCACGTGATCGTCGTCGCAGACGCCACAGCTCCTCCAGATCTTCGCGAAGCCGATCATCGAGGTCATCGAGAAGCCATTCACGCTCCCGCTCCCGGTCGCGTAGCCGATCTCGCTCAGGCAAGTGCAGCCCAGTGAAGAATACTTCGGATTCGGGTCAACAACAGGCGCCCCAAGCTCTTCTTCCCACGCCGAAAACCCTTCTGCCGACTCCCATTGGTCCCCAGTTACCCAACCACACTAACAAGGTTCCAGCCTCATCCCCTGTGGAAAATAAAGTTCCTCCTAATGATAGAAAAATAATTTCTAATAATCCTGTAAACAATAATAATCAGAATTATTTACAACAGCCGCCTCAAATACCGCCTTTGATGGCTCTTAATCCTCAAATGAATATGTGTGCTCCTCCTCCTCCAATAAATGGACAAGGCTTTGCTTTACCTCCTTTTTTTCCTGCTGACCAGTATGGTATGATGATCCCAAACTTCCCTGCATCAATGCTTCCACCGGGTGGTTGGGCTGCCCCGCCGCCACCACCGCCTCCCCCTCCGCCCTCCGAGTCCTCGGCTAAAGGTAGTCACGAGCAAAGGGGCCCTGGCCAAAGTGGCCTCGAGTCAGATTCCAGAAAACGCGGGGCTCGCTCAGGCGGGCTCGGTGGCTCGGGCGGCTATGGACCCACTGCAGGCGGGCTCGGCTCCAGCAGCGGCGGGCTCGGGGCTGGCGGCGGGCTTGGCTCGTCTGGCCCCGGGCTCGGCTCGTCAGGCCCCGGGCTCGGCTCGTCAGGCCCCGGGCTCGGCAACAGCACAGCGCTTGGTTCCGGTGGCGGGCTGGGCTCCGGAGGCGGGCTGGGCTCGTCCGGTGGGCTCGGTTCGTCCGGTGGACTTGGCTCCGATGGCCCAGCTGGCTCGCGATCGCGAGGCCGCGACCGGCGACGCCGCGGCCGAGGACGGGATCACGACGACTTAGACTCTGCCAACTCAGGAGGTCTCGGCTCGTCTGGGCTCGGTGGGCCTGATGGCGGCGGGCTGGGTCAACCGCCCAGCGGCGGCTACAATTCTGGCGGTCTCGGCGTACCTCACGGGAGCCTCTTGCCGCGCATGCTACCTCCGAGCGTTGTCGATGGTGTTGGACCACAGGGTGCTAACTTTACTGCGTTTGGGTCATATGGATCTAAAAATATTAAACAGAATAGCAATGTTCAAGGAAACGAGAGTAGCGAGGGTTACAATGCTGCTGATTGTAGAATGCAATATTATGGTCCACAAAATGCTGGTCCCGGTCGGCCTTACGGTCTCGGTATGGACCAGATGGGTGCCAACGGTGCGCTGGCGAATGGCTCCGTGGGGTACAATAATGACCGCCAGAGAAATCGCCGACGATGATTGCGACTGAGGTTTGTTATATTCAAACCAATGCCAACTCACCTATTTTAACAACTCCATTACTCCACTACATTACACGATATAAGCTGTCTTGGTGTATTTGTCAGTCAGACTTTTATCTACAGTGATGGTCTGTATGGTAAACACCTGCATAATTATTGTAATTATTATTATACTCTGTGCTCTATAAAACTTGTCAGAAAAAATGTTGTTGAGACATATTTTAACGATAGGTATCTTTTTTTACAGAAAATGGATATAATGGGGACTCTCGTCGACGCAGGCGACGTTAAACATCAGTGAATTGTGAACGATCGATCGTATGGAGTAAGGAACATAGTTTAGTTACATAAGATTTGACACAGACTATTTTTTTTCCATTCCATGTTGTATTTATTTAATGTGTGATTAGTGCAGTGTTACACAGTCATGTGTTTGAGTATTTCCCCAATTTTCAACTAGTACACACATTATAATGCATTGTATATAAACATTAATTACATTAATGTTTTAGATTTACTATTAAATAAAATTAATATTATTATCTCATTTGATACATAGTTTCATAAAAAGTGCCAGTATAATGTTCACGATATATTTTTCAATTTATTATGTATACTAAAACTAACAATTATAATGGTCACGTAAAATGTACATAAATGAGTGACATTAGGTCACTACGAAAAAGCATCAAATGTTAATTATTTTTGCTAAAACTACCAAAAAGAGTTTCTGGTAAGGACTACTGATGATTAGACAATTTGTTACAATCCAGTGTTGATTAATTGAAACATAATGTCCTGTGTTGTCAGTAGACAGTTTTATTTGGGTAATGCATTAAGTACTTTGTGAATCTTAGAATTTTGTTTGTATTGTGTTTTTAAGTGCAATTGTGATCATTTAAGTATCATTTAATTGTAGCAAGATATTAGATTACTTTAAGTATGTACCGTCTTCTAATAAATAATAACACCTATTCATAGGTATTTTCATGAATCTTTTTGACTAGTGAAGTGTATCTTGTAATACAATAAATGTAAACGAAATTAAAGTTTTACACTAATAATAATGTGTTTTTATTATATTCCATTAGCATAATTATCCCAACTTCTTAATTAACTAAGCTAACAAATACATAACTATTTTGGAAATACTCATTGGCACTGGACCAAGTTCGATCTACGTTTGTGGCAACAAATGGTTTAAACTTTAAAATCTCAGTAGTAAAATGGTAAATCAGCAGTAGTGTTAGTAGTAAGAATGGTAATAACAATACATACAATAATACCAATATTTTTCTGTATTTACTGATAGTAAATATATTGATTATGATAGCTACAAAATGTTTTGTCTGTCAAATTCTACATAATCATCGAATCCAAGGAACATTGTTGCTTCAGATCGTTGAGATGAATACTTCAGAGCAGCTAGGTACCTACCTATTTTTTTCGTTAGTTTTGATATCAAAGCGTAAAATAAGTATAGGGGGTTGTTATGGTTACAGAGTAACAAGGAAATGTCTCAAATGAAAGGATTTAAAAATGTCATCATAATTTTCTGAACTAATCATAACAATAATAAGAATTATTTTGTTTTGTATAAGTAAAAATTAATATTAGTTGCAGTTTTAAAAATATAACAAGTTAGGAAAATTATTTGGTGAATTATGAGTTTCTGTGTCGACCTTGTATCTGAAGACTCTTTTTATGAAAATATCACTTTGGGAGTGACAAAACTGTTAGGTAAGTTGGTATAGGCCATAGGCTGTTCCTATTCTGTGGACTGGTTTGTACCTTTAAGATAACTTATAGCTAGAAATAGTGAGGTAGGTAGGTCTTAAATCAGGTAGGTACACAGGTAGTTAGATGTGATGTTTGTTTTGCAAATGGATTTGATAAATAAAATAAGTAAAACGTATTTCTCTTCGATTTTTTATTTACAATAAAAACAACAGGTACCTACTTAATTACCCACCTAAATACATACTGTAACGAAATAAACATAATATAATAATTCTCATCAATATGAGTTTGCTTTATGTTTTGGTAAAAAGTTAAATCCGTCAGGTACAGGTCCTAATAGCATTTCGCTTATTTTTATCCAGTCTGAACAGTTTCCTGATGCCATTAGAGTTTCTAAGTCATCTCTGCCAAAATACAATGGTGGTCTTTCATTTATTTTTTGTGGAGGTCTTTCTAGTAAACCCACAGGTACATATCTGTACAAGAATGACAACCATTCAAGTAAAAATCTGCGGGTATTCTCCACACCTTGCATGTCAGAGCCCCAGTGCTCCAAACCATAGTTAGTATATTTCTTTAATATTTCAAACCTTTCTTTGCTGCTTATATCCCAAATTCTCTGTTCCTTAATCTCTGTGAATATCCAAGGCTTGATAAGTGCTCCTCTTCCAATCATTACCCCTTGCACTGTAGGAGCAACAGTTCTCCTATCAATATAATCTTGGTAGCTCAAGATATCACCATTGCCATAAACAGGGCAAGGTGCAGCTGCTTGTGCACAAGTTTCTATGTATTCCCAATCAGAGGACTTAATGTATCTAGCTTCTCTGGACCTGCCATGCACTGTAACGAGTGATGCACCCCATTCGGACATTTTAGGTACTATGGTATGTGTTATCTTTTTTCCTTCATACACACCAGTTCTCATTTTGACTGTAAAAGGTATGCTTAATACTTTTGAAGCGCATCTTACTGATGCTTCTAATGCATTTAGTCTGTGCATCATACCACTGCCTCCTCCCTTTTTGTATATCAAATCGATAGGACATCCTAGATTTAAATCTATGAAATCAAGTTCAGTGTTCTCTTGTAACATTTGTGCTACTTTTGTAATAGTGTACACATTAGTGCCACATATTTGTGCCCCAAATAAGTCTTCTGTTTCATGCCTTTTGACTAACGCCCATTCTTGTTTCATTCCTTTAAGTAAAGATTCACATAAAGCCATTTCTCCGCAAGTTATATCTACTCCATATTCCTTGCAAATTCTCCTGAAGGGTAAGTTTCCGACTGTAGTCAAGGGGCTAAGGTACAACTTGTCCCTCCAGTCTATGATCTTCTTTTCTCTTGGTAACAGTTTGATCAAGTCTTCATCAGTGACAACACCACTTTTGTGTATCTTTTCGTCAGGTTTGTCTACTGGTGCATCGTTAGATTCTTCATTATTTTCTGTTGGTACTTCCTTAGACTCTTCATTACTTTGTTGTGTCTCCTTATTATTTTCATTTGGTTTCTTCTTTCTATCTAGATGTTTTATCAGTTTCTCAGATAAACTAAAATCATATTTTCTTTTTTGTAGAGCTGTCTGAAGCGCAGGCTGAATGGTATTTTTAGTATCATCTTTCCATTGCTTCCATTTTTCTAAGTTAACCATATTATACCCGTCGGGTGTGATGTGACTAGTCCCGAAGCGACAAGCAATGCCTCTGGGGCATTTTCCTCTTGTCTCAAATAAATAACATGTTTCACCCAAGTCCTTGGGTTTTGATTTTATATAGTCGAGTGCATTGTGAATATATTTACAGTTATTGTACTGGCATGGATTTGAATTTTCAGGTGCTTCGACGCACACAATAGAAGGGCATGGTTTATTTTCCTTGTTGTCTTTGTAAGTTTTTGGTCTCGCTTTATTTTGGCCCCGTTTTTTATTCTTACTTTTGTTCTGTTCTTGTCCTTCGTTAGTTTTAACTTTTTTACTATCTAAATCATTATCTTCATCGTTATTATCAGTTAACTTACGTTTATTATTAGTATCATCTTCAGTAGTATTTTTGACCGGTCGCTGAATGATAAATTCTTCTTTTATAGCACAAACACCATCCATTGGTTTAGTCATTGTTATATTTATTTTATCTTTATTTATTTCAATTAAATTATTCTATTTATTCTTGATTGTTATCAAATCTAATAGGTTATTTTTTTACCACACGAGAGTTGACGCACGGTACCTACTGACGGAAGTGATACTGTCACTGTCACTGAGGACATACAGGACATATCGAAACAATGTCAGTCAGATGTAATTTTTTTTGGTAGAAACCAATATTGAAACCTAGGATTATTACACAACCCCTATTACATGGGAATCATAACTTATGTAGTGAAAAGTAGGTGTTACATTGTACAGTGGTATAATGTGCACCTCTGCCTACTCCTTCGGGGATAAAAGGTGTTAAGGTAAGGATAAATGTTGTGTTATGTTTATTTCAGGCAGAGCTGGATTAAACCTAAAGATCGCCCTAGGCAAGTATTTCACAGGCACCCTTAATTTTCTATCTAGGGTAATTTTCTAAGTAGGCAAGCGTCAGGTTACTAAAATACTGACGGCGATGCCGTCATTTTGCCAATACGACTCTGATGTAATTTTCCGCCATTCCTTAAAACTACATAATATACTTACTTAAAAATCTTATTGCAGAATCCGATCCTAGGATATGTAATGTTAACGTGGAACGTAGATCGCCCTGTGACCGCGTAGCCCTGTCGACATGGGAACAGAGACATTCCGCCTTACTTCCAGAGGATCTCCGAAATTTCTATGCATCCAGCGACGGATTCCAATTAACTTGGCATTACAAATATTCTGGTTAGTTATTTTTTATATTTAGGAATAAGATTTCAAGCAAGCCTTCCTAATTTTCTTCATTAGGCTTATAATATGTACCTACCTATTAAGTATGTAGAATGAAACAGGTAGATAATTTTTTAAATAAGATTTTCGTTACAATTTTTATGGTTTGTTTGGTCCTTTTTGTTTTCAGCTGATGAAATACTACCAGTAGGCTCGATTAGAGTGAATTCTTTGAACGAGTTATGCCTTTCGCCAGCATTAAAGGATTTGTTAGACTTCTCCATGACGAGACAACACACGGGGCCTCGACCTGTGTTAAACACTAAGAGCAAAGTATTCGAATTGGATTCTTGCAGGACTATTGGAAAGGTATAATTAAATTTGTTATGTAGTAATACCTAGTTCTACTCATACTGCCTCCTTGATTGTATGCGCGATTATTGGATAGCTGTTTCGATTATAGAATGTTAGGACAATTTAGGAGCACAGACTATGGCAAGGTAACAAGCTTGTCCCATCAAGTCCTTGTATAGGTAACTGAAGAACAGTGACATCCTAAATGGTAGGTAGATAGATGAAACGTCACTCTCAAGTTATCACCAACAGCGTGTTTTTTTTGTGGTGGAAAATCAGGGAGGGAGTATAACGACTATTACTGACTAAATAAAATCACCCCGTTCCTAGTTCTGCTCTTCGAGCCGGAGCCCCAGCAATCCGTTAAGTCTTCCGCGGTATCGGCATCAGCCCTACTGGGCACCATCTGTGATGGTCTGATGGCTTTTTGAACCTTGAGCGGAACGCCCCGGCGACCAGCTTCCGTGCGCAAGTCGCACGCGTGTTTTACGCGTGCGACTCAGCGAGCACCTTATCATCAACAGTCTGACTGGATTATGCGCCTTCTCTAAAGGAGTTTGCCATAATCGCAATAGCCATACTTAGCGGATTGGACAGTCTTAAGTTATAAGTATATCAGAAAGCGTTGCCAACTAGGTACTCGTTACGTACGATTCTATAATTCTTATTGTTTTGCAGATATGCCTAATTCACACAGGCGGGATGTGGTCAGTGTGGCTGGCGACTCGAGAAGGCGCTTGGGGTTGGCTAGCTGACTCTTTCACAAATTACTTTAGGATGGCGTTAGTGCATTTGGGCCTACCAGGTTGGCAAGCAGCCTTTGCTAATCTACCGTTGATTCCTTGGGCAGAGGTGAGAATGAATTCAGTTTACAGTTCAGTGTGATCTACAGATTTTAGTTCCTGATCACTTACAACACATGTACATTATAGTGTGAAGACGTTTTTAAACAAATCTTTACATAGTATAAAATAAAGTCGCTATCCGCCGTCTGTCTGTCTATATGTATGCTTAGATCTTTAAAACTACGCAACGGATTTTGATGCGGATTTTTTTAATAGATAGTGATTCTTAAGTAAGGTTTATATGTATAATACATGCATATTGCACCCGTGCGAAGCCGGGGCGGGTCGCTAGTACAAAATAAATAAACAAATTATTATTTTGTTGTTACAGCAACTGTTTTTACTGTTAGCGCCGCATCTTTTGGATAAATCGGATATAGAGCCCAACCTTATAACGGCTACAAGTGAAGCAGGATTAAATCACATCGACCCTAATATTTTCAAGACATCTGTTCGTCACCACAAGAACACCACACGGCAGACAAATCAGTGATAGTAATGGTTCAGATTACTAAATTAATCGACTAATAAAATAATTCCAATATCCATGCACAGAGTTTTATTCAAAGTAAATGCAAAGCGTTGAAATAAAATAAAGCATATTCTTACATAATGTATATTGAATAATTCTTGACACAATAAAATTTACAGCTAAACAACAAAACAAAATGGACGGAATGTGAGATTCTTAAAGAAATACAAGCTAGTCATAATAAAGATGTAGCTTAAATAAGTAATACAATAATGTAAGCGAATATTATTTGAAGCTGCCATATTGCCGCACCATAGTTTTAGGCTTAAGTTGGTGCTAAGTATGTGAACATTTGCAATGAAAATTGCACAAATATCTTGCGTTTTTTAACTAGGTGTCTTCTTTCTTCACAAAAATATACATATAAACTATAAACGTAATCAAAATATTAACTTAAAACTAACACTATCAGTTGTTACATAATGTCGATTTATTTACTCGTTTCCTTAACAATAGAATAAGTTACAAGACAATAATTTTCACTAAAGAGTTAAATACCGCTTGTAAAATATAGCAGAATAATGTAAAAATAAAAAAATAATACAATACATTTGCGTTTAAAACGTGATGCATTTGATTTTCATGTGATGTACTCCAAAAAAACAATAATGTTTTTACAACGCGCTTTTTGCGGGCAGTGTGATAAGAAAAATGCATTTTATCTTACATTAACTATAAGCAAAAAGTGTCTACTACATACGTCCATCAATTCGTACAAAATATACTCAATACTTATTAATTTAGGCCACACAACTGCGCTAAACTATAATACTTATACTAATACCTTAGAACAATGCTCAATACCTGAGGTGGGAATATAATTGAACCATTTATTTAATATACAAAAATGTACGATACTTTTAATTCGTCATTCATTGATGAGCAGGGTTCAATAGAAAAGTAACTCTAATTCTGAAGAAATAAAATCGATTTTCGTTTACACAATTCGGTTACAGTTTGTCACAACGCTGCGCAACCCAAAATGCGCATGATTGGTTATTCTATGACATGTGTTAAGGCTTAGACAATCACTGTACGTCTTCTTTAAAAATTACCAATCATAAAGCTTTGTTTTCTGCTGGATTGTGTTGCGCATCGTTTCAAATGTGTTTCTGACTAATAGATTGTACAATTATTTGCTGTGGTAACGAACGGACATATTTAAAATAACTGGAATGCCTTGTTTAAATAAATAGGGACAAATGTGGCACATTGTTTCAACATATTCGTTTTTAAATACACCCGCACTTATATTTATACTAAATTCATTTTAAGATCAAATAGTTAATTTAAATTAATTAATATAAGCTTTTTTAATACAACCATGTGATGTTCGTTTGCTTATAAGTTAAAGAGATTATAGTTTTTGCAATTATAGTCATTTTTTTTAATGCATGCAAAATTTTCGAGTGATGATACTAACTGTGAGTTGAAGATTGCTATAACTAAACTTTGCATGACGTTTGCATTTCAACTACGGCAACACTTTCAATTGCATTTTATTGTAGCTAATTTCGTTTTAGGCGTTTTAACATGTTTTAAATCTTGCCCAAATAGCTGAAAGCTGAGATATGTTAAAAATACTAAATCAGTGCGGGAAGACGTATAAACGATGGTATCAGACCATCCTTTGTCATAAAGATAACGTAACATTCATTAACATCTTTTATAACAGTATTATAGTCTGATTCCTGTTGTCTGTACTATGAGAAGTAGCGCAAGTTGCGCATTATGCGCAAGGGTTGCGCAACGGGGCCTACCGTTTTGTTCACCGGATAACGCTAGTGTAATTCTTACGTCATGTCGTCCAATAGAGTCACGCTATTGGACGTTCAATTTTTGACAGCTACAGTGATTGGACAAACAGACAAACTAGATTAGCGTCTCCTGGTGGGCAAATAACGGTAGCTCTCATTAGCGCAATAGTTTGCGCTCTTCCATAGCTTAAGAATGTTAGTAAATCCAACTGACTGGTACCCACTGGTGGTCGGTGGACAGAGAATGCAAGGCGTCATTGATTTTAGAGTAAGTCGTATCGATATTATTGTTTGTTATAACGAGATCTATGTACTTTTCGTTCTGTCGTTGTATGCGGGCGCTCTCTTCTAGGGTTTGTTTCATGTCTTCTTCCTGTAAATTCATATTAAAATAGTGAGAAACTTATATGTAGAGGATGCTGTTTTGATAATGTGAAACTTGATAGAAATAGTCAAGAAGTGATTATCTACGATAATCTGCTCTATTCCAGATTGGTTTTCATAATGTAGCTTTCTAACTTACGTCCTTCTTTTTTTTCTATAGTTTATTCAACAAAATAGCACACAGCATAGCATAATGCATGTAAATCACTATTATCATAAGTAAAAACTTACCTCATAAAGCGACGCAAGAGACTCAAGGGTACGCGCGCGCCGTGAACTGTAGCGTATGGAGCTCTGCCTGTCGAACTACGCATGCGCAACAAACGTCAATGCTAAACACATTCATTATAGCAAAATGGGATATACATGCTCTATTAAAAAAATACAAATTAAAGAGCTTTTTGAAAACATAAACTATCTATTCTCAAGCCGAATTGTCTAAACTAAAAATAAACTGGCATTCGAAATCTAGTTTCAAATAAAATGGGCCATTATATCGTAACCAAGACATTCTATAAGGATATGAACGACATTTAAAATTAAATACATAACAATAATAACATATATTTGTGTTGCTCACCGTCAGATTACGATTGGACGCATAAGTCAAGTTCCTTAGCTGTTCGATTCCTGGAGCCGCTATCATGACGACGAATGGGAGAAACTCTCCGCTATTGTGAAGCAGTTTCAGAGATTGTGGTGCGCAGTCTAATATGCACATTTTACCTGGAAAAATATTCATTGCATTATTAGGTTCAGGATTGAGGTCTATTGTCTAATAATATTGACATTAGCTAATGTCAAGTCATTGCCCATTCAACTTGTGACAGTTAAGCTAATTGGGTACTTGCCTTAATCAGATATAAATTATTTCGACTGTTAAATACAATTAAATATTAAAAAATAATCACACTTTCATTAATTAATTTCATGACCAACTTAATTTTAGTATTTATTCAGGATATTTTTAAGAAATAAGTATGCTGTTTGACGCTAAAAACGTGACGTCACAATATACAATCTCGTACAAAATTCGTAGAAAATTGACGTACAAGGCAAGGCAACGCAAGGAACCAATTGGACTAACGCCATCGTCTCACTAGATATATACCGTAAGCGCGAGTAAATCGAAAAAGTTGAGCAAATTGCGGTCTAACGTGCATAAATTCAGTACTTGTACTATCACAAAGAGTATGTAATAAAACATTTTTTTTAGAGATGAAATGAGAACAGAGGCCTTAGTATGAGTTTCATTTACCTTTTAAGTATTCGAAACGAGTACGCGGTCGGCGCTCTGATTGGTTGGTTCATTGGCGCCGACCGCGTACTCGTTTCGAATACTTAAAAGGTAAATGAAACTCATACTAAGGCCTCTGTTCTCATTTAATCTCTAAAAAAAATGTTTTATTACATACTCTTTGTGATAGTACAAGTACATACTTTAAACGTAAATGAAACTCTTACTAAGGCCTCAGATAAAAACTCACCTTCCTTCATAACAGCTCGAATGGAGTCTAAATGAGTACCATACAAGTGACCGTTATGTTCCCCATACTCAAGGAACCGGCCGGCGTGTGCGTCGCGTTCCATCTCCTCGCGAGACACGAACCAATACGATTGACCGTTCTCTTCCATTGGCCGGGGAGGGCGAGATGTGTCTGAAATATAGTAGAGCATCATTAAAATAGAGATTAGTAGACATAACATAACATCACGCCTTTTTATCCCCGAAGGGGTAGGCAGAGGTGCACATTTCGGCACTTAACACCCACTTTTCACTATATATGTTATGAGTCCCATGTAATAGGGGGTGAGCCTATTGCCATATACCGGGCACAATTCCAGACTCCGTGCTACTACTGAGATTTTTAAAAACTCAGTAATACTTTGCCCGACCCGCGAATCGAACCCGAGACCACTTGCGACCACTCGGCCAACGAGACGGTCAGATTAGTAGACTTAACAAATATTCCACAAAATCTCAGTACGTACTAGCACGGAGTCTGGAAATGTGCCCAGTATGTGTATGCCAGATAAGTCCACGTGAGTCCCAACTCATAACATAAAATAGTTAAAAGTGAGTGTTACATTGTACAGTGGCATTAAGTGCCGTAATGTGCACCTCTGCCTACCCCCTCGGGGATAAAATGCGTAAAGTTGTGTATATGGTTTATTGGAAAAATTATGAGGATTATTCCGTTATTTTTTAATTGAAAAGTCATGCAGTGGATGGTGAGTGATCAAGGGTATATTTTGCAAAAGAGGAGGCGGGACGCGTGAGGCAGCGAAGCGCTCCCGGTGAACCTAACGGGTAACCGGGGCTCCGGCTCGACGTGCAGGAGAAGGAACGGGGTGGTTTTTATTCAGTAAGAGTCTGATACTTCCCGCCTCACTCAGGCGGGAGCAGCCATTCGATGATTTTCCCCCCTTAAAAAAAAATTATATTTTGCAAGCACTTACGTGGTACAACAGCACCAAATCTATCCGAATGTTCCTGGATCATGCGGTTCTTGATAGTTCTGCGGCCAACGCCCCTAGTGCCCACTAGCGCCAACACTCTACGCAGGAACGGCGGCGTACGCGCAACTTCCTCGTACAGAGCGAGCTCAGCGCCCTCTAGTTGCACGCTCGAACGAGACTCGTATACGAACTTCTTTTTCTTCTTTGATATCTGTAAAATATAATAGATTATAGCATCTAGAAATCTATAACCTTTTCGAGTCCACTGTAAGACTATGACTACTACAATGAAGGGTTTGCCTTAATCTGAGTTCACCTCGTCGTAGTGACTCGAAGGTCTAAGATGTCCGCTTCTCATACATGAGGTTGCGGGTTCAAAACCTACCAACAGCAAGTACCAATGTGACTTTCCGAATTATATGTACTTTCTAAGATTACTTAGACACCACTCACAAAAGGTCAAGGAACCCTGAATTTATAATTTGAAATCGCCAACTCGTATTGAACAAGCGTGGTGATTAATGCTCAAACCTTCTCCGTGTGAGAAGAGGCCTTTGGTCAGCAGTGGCCACTTATAGGATGTTTATGTGATGTGAGTGAATCCCCAAGTTTGGCAGACTAGTTGGAGATTACTAACGGTAACCGATCTTAATTACGTACCTTTGAGTTGTTTGATTTAGTAACTAGACATGCCATTAATGGCGTCAATTTTTGTGTGATATAATTAAGGTCGATAGGTTAATGCGTAAAAGTACACTTAATTAACGCGGTCAATCATTGGATGCGTGACCATTTTATCATGTCATGCCTGCATGGAAGAGTTTTTGTACTGTTAATACAACACATTCGTTAACGGCAAGGGTAGTCAAGATGCAGAAAAATGGCTATAATATGTTTTTATAATAAGTATCGTGGGACATACTAAATTAACTAAAAATCGCGCGTTACTCATGGTATACTGAGAAAAGCTCTACTAGTTTCGAAACACATACATTCATAAATAATATGTAATATTATTATGATGACAAACATAATAAAAGTTTTTATATTTTAAAGGACGGGTAAGTAGTATGTATTCACAGTGGTATGCATCCTGATTTGTATGATACAGAGATTGAGAGGCCGTAATACAAAGCTTGACATTCAGATTTCAAATCAAGCGCGACGAACTTGAAATGTCAAAGTTCTAGCTTAGAGGTCATTGAACTAGGAACTATACAAGACCAAGTAGATGTACTTAGATTAGGTAAACAAAGGTGTACACATACTACACGCTGAACATAACGTTCAATTAGAATTAGGAAACAAAAAACCAAAGTTCTTTATCGCGCAAATGAAATCGGTATTTCGAGTGTTAAAAGTATTAGTCACCGAATTACTAGATGACCGATTTGTCAAGAACGGTTAAGTTGTTTTGATTAAAAAGGAAAAGTATAGGTGGTAGGATTGTTTTGAGTCAGAACAAGTATACAACGTGTTTTTATCTTGATTTTAGCAGCAATACTAGGTCTGTGTACTTTTGCAACTTCGTTTAAGTCAAACCAACATAAATAGATTTCATATGGGATTGAAAAATGGTGGTTATTTTTGTACCCCATGCCAAATAACACATGTATGAGTTCATCCGCTCTGCTCGGCGGCTATTTATCGCAGCGTGATGATTTATAGCCTATAGTCTTCCTCGATAAATGGACTATAGAACACAAAAATAATTTTTTTTAATCGGACCAGAAGTTCCTTAGATTAGCGCGTTCAAACAAAGAGATAAACACACTCTACAGCTTTATACATATAGTATTTTTTTTAAGGGGGTAAAATCATCGAATGGCTGCTCCCGCCTGAATGTGGCGGGAGGGAGTGTCAGGCTCTTACTGACTAAAAACCACCCTTTTCCTACTACTGCACTTCGAGCCGGAGCCCTGGTAACCCGTTAGGTTTTCCGCGGCTCCGTGTTAAATTGGATCTCAGCATACTCATTTGTATTAAATCTCTTTGGTCTTACGAGAATATAACGAATTACTGTGTTGTCTATGTTTAATAAAAAGAATAAAATTGTTTAAGTTTTGTTTCCGAATCACAACTTCGTTGTTTCATTATACTCCGAATCGGTATCAGCCCAATTGGGCCCGTCCGTGGTGGTCTGATGGCTCATTGAGGCGCGTGCGGAACGCGACGCGCCGTACGCTCGGGATATAGTAAGTATACATATAAGATTTCGAACTAGACTTGGACTATCTTAATAGGAGGCATTTATTTTAGGCGAGAATGTGAAAAGACTAGTGAACATAGTAACTATTGAGGAGATATTGTAGATATAGTCTGATATCCGATTCACACAATTACTCATTCAATTGTTAATAATCACAATATTGGTAGTTTGAACTTTGTAGTCTTTTTTTTTTAAGGGGGGAAAATCATCGAATGGCTGCTCCCGCCTGGGTGAGGCGGAAGGGAGTGTCAGATTCTTACTGACTAAAAACCACCCCGTTCCTTCTCCTGCACGTCGAGCCGGAGCCCCGGTTACCCGTTAGGTTCTCCGCGACAACTTTGTAGTCTAGACATCTATGAAATTAGAACCGAACACTGACTCATTGTCTTAACATTGAATTAAAGCAAAAGTGCATTTTGTTTTGCGAACTTCACACGTTTGAAAGAAAATTCGCTGATACAAAGTGTTCGTGAGAATTCCTCGTTTGATTCATAAACTGACAAAGGTGATACGTTTATGTGTAAACAATCAAGTTAGTTGTTTAGTCATACAAATGTGCTGATCTTAATTCCGGGTACATTGACTCATTTGACTGTTTATTATTATGAAACAATGATTAGGTAATAATAATTCTGACTGCACGATTGGCGCGGTGACTGGGCAATCGGCTACCACCCAACGTGTAGCGGATGTGATTCCCGCACGGACCGACTCTCTGTATGATCCACATTCACAAATTGTTGTTTCAGGTCTGGGTGTGATGTGTATGTGATATTGCATATTCGTAAACGCACCCACGACACATTACAAAATCCTAGTGTAGGGCAACGTTTTTTTTTAAGTAAAATAAAGGAAAAAGAATTCATGAATTTCATTAACAACAAAGGCTAACTGATGTTCGATAGCAAAAACCTTCAAAATGTCATAATTAGTAGAATACTTTTAAAGATATTTCTTGGCCTACAGCATTTCCTAAACCGATTTATTGAAAATATGACCTTGCTATGAGTATACAAAAAATAATTAATTATTTTATGTTTATTGTCGAATTGTAGACCAATGCAATTGACCACAAAACAGATAAATATTGCGATTAACAGTTTATAAAATACGACAAGAGTCTTGTACTACGTAAAGCTCTTTAATCGACTTCAAAAAAAGAAGGAGGTTCTCAATTTGACCTGTACGTATGTATGTGTTTGTGCGCAATTATCTCGAGAATAGCTGAACCGATTGTGATGTGGTTAAATGAAAAGTGTTTGTTACATTTAGGAAAAGGTTTTAATGTATTAACTAACCGATTTCAAAAAAGAGGGGGTCAGTTTTTATTTAAACGTAGTTTATAATAGAATTATGAAGGATTTTCATAGTTGAAAATTCATAATAGCACGTCGTCTTTATTTCGGTGCATGGCAAAAGCTCACCTCTATTACATGGGAGACTAAAATTAAACTAGTTAGTGAAGAATGATAAAAAGTAGGTGTAACGTTGAATAAGCACATTTCTACCTATCCCTTCGAACATTAAACATAAGACATGAGATTAAACATGTTTAAGCACGGAGGCCCAATTATTACCCCCCCCCCCTTTCCCCAATTCTTGAATCCCAACAATCCTGAAATTCCTAATCCTAAAAGGCCGGTAATGCACTCTTAACGCCTCTAGAGTTCCAGGTGTCCATGGGCGACGCCGATTGCTTACCATCAGGTGATACGTCTGCTCGTTTACGGGATTATCCCATAAAAAAAAATATATTTCCATACTTTACCCTTGCGCCACAAATGCTGATCTTATGCACGAAGTCTGCTTCGGGCGCCACATACGCCTTGCGTCTCTCCTCCAGCTCCGGCGAGGGTATCAGGCCCACTGTGTCAGGGTTCTCAACGTGGCTTGCCTGCCACCAGTTAGGGTCCTTGCGGTCTGATACCTACAAAGTAATTTTTGTTTTTAAAATAGTATCTAGCAAAGAATATGAGGTTTGACCTGGTTGCTATTTCTTTCTTGAAAAATTGTCATCAATAGCTTAAGTGGTGTTGATTACTCAAATCAAATAATAAAAAAGTGTGTTGTATTAAATATGTGATTATCCTGTCGACGATTAAAAGGCGTGATGTTATGTACGGATAGATGGGTGCGAAGTCAAATAAAAATGTAACTATTAAACCTTGAGATTAAAAAGGTTAAACAAAGGCATTGAACATTCACATTCTATAATAAATTTGTTGATCATACATGTGGGGGTTCTATGTAGATTTGTCGAGGTGATAAATGATGCGCTTCATTTTATTTGGAGATATATAATTCTGGTACCAGTTACATGATATATACTTAAAAATGACGACCTACTAGTTCGGTTGCGGGGAGACGACTGCCGTGCGACGCCAGCGCACGTACGCGCTTGGGAACACAAAAGTACAGCGTCAACAGTGTGTCCCTACATACATATTAAAGCTACAAACTTACTTGTAAAATATCGCCTCTCTTGAACTCTAGTCCAATTTCTTTACATGGCAGTAATGTGTCTTCCTTGGGGTCATAATCAAACAGGGCTCTCATATAGCACTGGAAAATAAAAAAAAATATTTAACCTCTTTACTGCCACTATACAAGATACTAGGTAATACATTGTTTTCGTCTTGTTTAGATGTATATATGCTCTGTGGCAAACCAAGGGGTACAGGGAGTAGTTTTTAATAACTACCTTCTGCCAACAGCTTCGACCGCGTGCCCTGTATTTTAACGTCGTATGTCTAAACGTGGATCCACGCGAGACATCCTCATAAACTTTCACATTTATAATATTAGTATTTGTTTTTTTTTTTTTGGGGATTAGGAATTTGAGGATTATTGGGGATTCGGGGATTGGGGAGATTGGGGAGGGTAATTGGGCCTCCAGTAACCTCACTTACACGACGAAACATAACGCAAGCGTTGTTTCATGTCGGTTTTCTGTGAGGCCGTGGTATCACTCCGGTCGAGTTGACGCTATTGTGCCGAAGCAAGGCTCTCCCAGACTTACCAAAATTAATATGATATTGAAGTCTTAAATGTATTTCAGTTATAATGTTTATGTATCTCAGTGTGGGAAAGTGAAAATGAATTACATGTTTACAATCCATACACATGTTAATTCACAATTTTCAAATATTTAGCAACAGTGGATTAAAACATTACACAATTTGAAGTAAAAGTTATAACAGAGTTAGCAATGTTTATGAATACAAAACTTATGTTAAAATATTCTAAAACTGCTCAATTTTTAGACACTCAAAAATCTTATCTACAAAAAATGATTTTCCGAAGTTTGCCTGGTCAGAATATACTAATCTAAGGAACTACTGACCCGATAAGAAAAAATATCTTTGTAATGGATAGCGCCATTTATCAAAGAAGGCTATAAGCTATAAAACACCATGCTATGATCAATAGGAGCCGAGTAGAGTGGGTGAGACCACGCAGCAGTAGCTAGTATGTCAGAAAAATATACCACTACAAATTGTAGTAACATTTTAGTAAATGAAAATTATTCAAAGATGTAACAATACTTACACTTAGCTTATTAGATAACTGAGCAGTCTTTTCTTTGAGGTTGGGCCCAACTTTGAGTGTGATCCTATCATTAGGCTTCGCTACGGCTTCCTTGAGCTGGTCCTCAGAGTTAATGTTAACTCCATCTACTTCTAACAATACATCTCCTACTGACACTAAAGCTTGTTTTGCTGCGGCACTGCCCGCTAATATCCTAGCTACTATGAGCTGGCCATGCTCATCAGTCGTTACCTGGGGTAATAAAGAACATAATAGAAATTAACACAGATTAAATATCTTTTTACATAGACACTTTTTAAATAAATATGTTTATTTCTTGAGGATTTATGTAGGATTTTAGTTCTTTCTAAACATAACTTAATCATCATCATCATC